GGAAGGAAGGAAGGAAGGAAGGAAGGAAGGAAGGAAGGAAGGAAGGAGAAGGTGGTGGAGGTGGAAGTGGAGACGTAGGCAGAGGAGGAGGAAACAAAACAAAAGAACAGAAAAGAGAAGAAAACAAACTTTTATGAAAGATGAGGCAGATTATTTAGATATTTTCTGGCCATCATCTTTTAAGACAATATTCATCATTAAAAGAGGGCAAATTCTAAGAATAACTCTAATCAAACATGGAGAAAATAATTCATTGATGATATGCACAGACATTCTTCTATTTCAAATTTTTGTTAGATTGCAAAATACCATATACCGGGGATCTCAAACCTTGGCCACTTTAAGCCTAGCAGACTTCAACTCCCAGAATTCCCCAGCCAGCTTTCTGGCTGGGAAATTCTGGGCCTTGAAGTCCCCAGGCTTAAAGTGGTCAAGGTTGGAGACCCCTGCCATATACAAAAGCACAGAAAATATTATTGCTAAGTAGTCAAACACCAGCTGATAATTATGTGTTGCATTTTGAAGAGGATTCTAACTCATTCAGGACTATACCACAGCAATGTAAAGACTTATATCTATTCTGCCCAATAGTCCTGAAGGCAAAGACTGCTTTAGTCACTGTTAGTCAAACAGTTGCTGGCTGATTAATATTCTGCAACTGGCTGCTAATGTCAGAAAAACTCACCAATCATACACCAATAAGATATTGATGGAAGTCTCCTGATATTTCATGACAATTAGCTCAATCTGAATTGTTCTTCCAGGAATTGTTGTTTTCCATCCAGTTTGGAGCTCTGAACAAGTCCAATTTTCTCTGCAAAGTAAATACTAAGGTTCTTTTATCTTATTCAAATATTTCTTTTAATGAATAACTTTTTCATCTCTTAACTGAACAGCAGATGGCAGGCAAGTCGCATTTGTGACTTAGCTTCTTCATTTCTTTTGCAAATTGCACAGAATTGCAATAAGAAAAACTGAGGTCTGGCAACATATATATATACACTGTAGGCTTTTCTTTAAATTCTATGATCGATATAACTACAGCAATACTCTTCAGAAGAACAGGGCAATTCCTCTAGCATTCACCAGGAGAAGTTTGTAATCAATGTTGTTTTACTTTCTATTTCTTTCTATCATGAAAAAAAGCAACAAGAGAAACCAGACAGTGACAGTCATTGATCACTAGCACCAAGGTCCATTGACTTATCAACTTGCAAAACCAAGATTATTGTTTATTTTTCTTGGTCACCATTCATTCTCCATCTGTTATTTTTAAACCTATTTACTCAGGGGTATAGTAATCCCAATCCTTCAGGAGGTCAGCTACTTCCAACTGCAACTTCAGTTTGTCTTTCCTTGGAATCCTGAATTAGTAAAACAGACTGTCTTTACAGAACAGTTAAGTACTACATAGATATTAATAATTAGGGAGGAGGAGGAAAACATTTTCAAAAGCTTCTTGGCATTGTCTGTATTGATAAATATTATAACCTTGGGAAAACTAGTAGATTGAACAATTGATAATTTGGCAATTTAGCATTACTTGAAGAATTTCTTCATCTACTTGCTCTGAGTACATGGCCAGGATAGCTTCAGCAGAACATAGGCAGTTGGCTTGAAGGAAAAGAAGAAATTCCCTCTTAATAATTTTCATTTCAGAAAACACATCAAGCACGCATGGTAATTTGAGACATCCAAATGAAGTTATAGTACATTCACGATCCCTTGGGATTCTCTCCATCTTGGATTTTTTCCCCAGGTAAGATAGTTAAACAGAGTTCTCCTTATATTATAAATCTATTTTTTAGCTAGATTCCCAGATAATTAGGGAATAAAACAAAAAGAAATAGTTGTTTGATTCTCATAGAAGTTGTTTAGGTACTTACCTTTGATGATTAAAAAGGACTAGAGATGGTGGCCAATTTTTTACTAGTAATTGAAATTAATTTGAAATAATGCCATGTTTTCCCAAAAATAAGACCCTGATGGTTTTTTTGCCACCAAAGAAGGCACCAGGTCTTATTTTCGGGGGGGGGGGGTGTCATCCACTGACTCACCTCACTTGCGCACATCTTCCCCAGCCTCCTTTTCACTGTCGGAGGCCTTCAGGAACTTCTCCTTCTTCAAGGCTTTGCTGAAGGCCTCTGCAGCCAATAACAGAGATCCGGATCTATCTGGAGCCCTGTTATTGGCTGCAGAGGCCTTCAGCAAAGCCTTATCAGCTGCAGAAGAAATGGGCTGGCAAGGCAGGTGTTGGGCTGTTCAAGGCCTGGCTGCAACTGTCTGAAGGTAAGTAGTAGGGCAGCTCCAGCCTCATCTCACAGCTCCACCCCCCACCCCCACCCTAGCTTAATTTTTACCCATTCACCCTGGAGTGGGTGGGCTGTTAATTAGGGCTTATTTTGGGGTTAGGGCTTATATTGGGTGCAAATGTAAAACTCAAGCTAGAACTTACTTTTCGGGGTAGGTCATATTTTCAGGGAAACACAGCATCATGCCATGTTTCAAAGAGCATCCAAATCAAATTGCATACAAACCAAATTAATAAAGAGCTTCTCACCCCCTTCTAGTCAGATCTTCCATCTTCAGTGGTTTATTTAGAGGGAGTAAACTATTTTAAAAGTCAAATTTCCATACACAATGGTGCTATGGGTTAAGATTTAGAATAACTGCAAACACCAAGAAACTCATTCACCTTCTGCCAAAGCTGTACCTTTGTCTAGTTATTGTGTGAGAGATATCTAGCACATACAGCCAGGAGAAAGAAAAATAATAGAAGTATACCATATTTGTGCAGTTTGGAGCCATGATCAAAATTTTTACGCTGTTGTGGACTTCAAGGAATAAAACAGTTATTTAAAATTAGCAAGGTTGGCCCTCACTACTATTACTACTACTACTACTACTACTACTACTACTACTACTACTACTACTCTTTTTCTTCTTTTTCTTCTTCCTCCTCCTCCTCCTTTAGAAGCTTCTGTCAGTATTTATACTACAGTTTCCATATGTTCCTAACTCAAAACTGTAGGAAACTGATGCCAATTTTCAACAATTATATTCCTAAGATTCAACTGTAATGACCAAGGAGTGATATGGGAACCACACAAATGGATAAGGGACTATTTTATTTCCTCACTCTTGTTTTAGCACAGTTTGAAACCCCCCTCTCTCAGCTGCTGTTTGACCAAGGGGAAAAATATGCAGGTTGTCCATAGCCATTTGTTGACAACCAGTTTTGTCTAGGGGACACATTATATTAGAAACTTACTCTAAAGGGTATGAATAAAGTTATCTATACTGTTGCATTATGCCGATTTGACCAAAAAAGGAAATCATTAAGTTTGTAACCCTTTTCTGCCCATAACATAATCTGAAGCAAAAAGGAAGGGGGATCCCTTTCTCAACCTGCTGAAATATCATTATTAAAATGTGC